TCATGATAAAGCCTATCGACTCTCATTCCGAACTGTTGTGGTATTATATTTTGAATGCGTATGTGGCCCAAACGGGCAGCCTTTGTACAAGCCAGAGCTTCTATCCCTCTAAACAGCTTGCTTCTGTGGGATGCATCAGCAGATTGAGCTCATAGTCTTAACAAAAATATGCCTACAAGCTGCGCAATAGGGCTGAAAGTCGGTTGACATACTCTCCACTTTGATGAAGTAGTGAGCTGATATGGGAACAAATGATCAAGTTGATCATGTTTGAAGCAACATGGTGTCACTAGGAGAAATTTCGTCAAAACTCTCCATGTGTTTTCAAATACTCCAAATCAAACACAGAACCACTTTCATCAGAGTTCTGGCAATCTCCTTTCGGATTTCCTTGCTGATGGATCCCCTGTCAGTTACAATATAGAGCCTAAGAAGTCATTCCCAGTGATGCCGCAGGTTTTCGCCAAACCCCTCATTGAAAAGGGTTTTCAGAGTGAGGTCGTAGAGATCGTTTTCGCTAAGCCTCACCAAAGCTTTGAACGGCCCTGAGAAAAGCCAGTCTGGAGGACGTCATTCTGAGAGGAAATTGGATTCGATTTGAGGACTGTATTTAACAAAGGGAGAGACTTGCATCCTGTAAGGATCCTGATTCAATTGCCTCAAATTCATTTCGTCAATAAAGTCCGATGAGAAAATGGATGAGAACTCATAGATAGCCATCATGTAAACAATATAGTATAGAAAAATAAAGTATTGAATAAATAATACAACTGCCAGTACAGTCCTTTCCCTGCCTTTCACTCCCCAAACTCCTCGGTTTACAGATCCTTATACTAACAAGTAAGTAAATAAAGAGTAAGGAGATTTTTCAAATTTTTTGAAAGCTAACGTATTTCACAATACTCTCAAAATTCTAACTAGTTCCATAGAGGTATCAATTGAAAGCGATTCCCACCATTGGACGAATCTTTCTACACCTCTGGCTGCTCTAAGCGGATACAAGCTAAACTTTGTGTAGATTTCCGAGTTTTCTCAGCATATTTCACGGTTCTCCCTTTGAGAAAGAATCGGATGCAACTGAAGTCAAGAAAACCTATTTCCTTTTTCACTCATTTTTTCAATTTCAGTCATACTGAGGTTGGAATACGCACATCACTCATACTAATTGTTCGAAAAAAAAAACGGAATCGCATATTTATCTGTAAAGGTGAACGAACTATCTAGCGCACATCGAACTGAGGCAATTTCCAACCGCTACCGCTTTTTTCACAAATTTCTAGATTTTTTTTTTCATTTCTCTTTTCAAAATCAAGAGTGTGACTCCTATCACAGTGGAAATTCCACAATCCAATCCATTTCCAATATCTGAAGCCACCAAAATCCCGCTTTGACGACTGGATATTTCGCCCATGCAATAGTTTTTGAAGGTCGGACCATGTATAGGTCAGTTTTCAGGTTTCTCGGAAAGATTTGTCACCGATAAGGTGACCCCAAAGTGGTTGATCATCGACTTCTTGCGACGGGTGACGACTCATTCTGTTTTTTTTTCTCCTTCCTGTGGGCTGTGCGGATAAGATTTCACCGTCTGACTTGTTCAGAAAAGTTTCCAATGAGGGAACTTCGCCAATCCCTATTCGTAAAATACTTCCTGACCGACGCTTACTTTTCATTGGTACCCTTCTTCACCTTCTGATTTCTCTTCTTGACGCGAAGAACTACACCTTCCTCAAGGTCTTTCCTCACTTTCGATCAAACAACTAGAGGGAATTACGAATGACAATCTATCGTAACATACTGCAGGCGAACAGGTTGCTCTTGAATAGCCTGCCGCTCTACGGCCGAATAATCGCCAACAATGCCTAGTTTAATGCCAAAATTGTTGAGAATCACTCTTCTGCCTGACCTCAGAGAAACAAGAACGATGACGCTTTTCGAAAGACTTAAAAACGAACAACAATCACAGGAACACACCGTAATCGCCTCCAACACTAGCGCTACTCACATTAATCATGAAAAGAAAAGGCTGTATGGCAGTTTTTCGCGAAAACATCTATGACTTTCATTGATGAGTGTCGTTTGTGGCGAGTGATGAGACTCGTAAAACGAACAAAGAAATTGCCCTTCAAAGAAGCAAGTTTTGACTATGCCTGCGAAAAAGCACCCATTACTCGACATTTTGAGGTTGCTTTTTTGATTGTTAACCCTGAAACTTGAAAATTCCAAAGTGCTAAACATATACAGACAGGAGTGGGAGGTGCTCTACCGAGTTTAAAGTCAAGGAATGAACGTCTGAAGTTTAAAACCTCACTTCCTTGAATGCTACGCATTTGAGATCGTGGTGGTGTTCGAATGTTGGCAAGGGCCATCAGGGCTCACCGAAACAATCGGTGAACAGATCAGATCTCCTATGCTCCAATGTGAGCCTTGCGTGGATCTAATTGATTCCAACCCACATGTTGGCCCGAACGACACTCCATGAAATGGTCCCGAAGCTGCGTACGTGAAAGGGCGTTTTTGAGCACAGTCTTCTAACTTTAATAAACTTAAACTAAACTTTAACACCAATCGCTATGTCAAAACAGTCTTCGTCCTGATCAACAAAGTAAGACGACTGATCCAGAGTTATGAGTGAAGAACTACATCCAATTCTTTCCTCCCATCTTCAGGTTTCTTTCTTTCTTCTGAGAGAAAGCGTTTCCACGTGATTGCTATGTTAAGTGATTGATGGATCGGACCGAAATGACGAAAGAATCAGCTCCCGATTTCTTAGCTGACCGTCCACATCCTTCCTAAAGTTGCATAGGCCGGAAAAGACGCTTTTAAATCTGATCCATGTGAGATTGAGGTCGAAAAGTGCAGTGAACACTTGCAAAAGCCGCGAGAATCCATCCCGTTTTTCCGTTTTTTTAGGAAGAAGATGCTATTTTGGAGGAATGGCTGTTCCCATACAGGAACTTCCCCTACCAAGTTGCCTTGCATTATTCAGAAGGGTAGAAAAACTCCGAAAATACCTGCCCGAGAGTCCCATAACGAATGTCTAGAAATTCGACAGACAGCTGATGCCATTAAGGGACGTTTTCTAACAACCCTCAAAAAAACAGCAAAAAATCATGTTGCTAAGAATTACGTGCCACGATTCTTTCTCTGAAGACGAGCCACTTGGCGAAAGAAAAACCAGAGGAATAGAAAAAACGAAATTCCAACGGGGTAACGACCCATGCTACTACGACAAGTTGTTTTTGTGAGTGCCTGGAATGTTTCCTTGGCCGGAAAAATAGCTTGAGAACAGATAAAAACGCTTGAATACTGGTTTTCCGTTATTGTAAAAAGTTTGTGAAGTGGATATTGCTGTGAATAGTTCAGATCGGCTTAGTCTAGGGCGGAATTGCAGCTCCGGTACAGTTTGACATTGACTCCTATCCCATTTTGGTTTGGATCACCATTCATTTTTCATCTGTTGTGAAGGATTCTGAGCGAAATTTCTAAGGATTGAGAATTCCTGGTCAAATTTTTGTGGGGTTATGACGTTTNATGGGCTGTTTTCAAAAACATCATTCGCCATGCGATATTGCAAGCTATTCAATACTTAACCGTAATTTTTCTGTGACTGTTTTCGAGCAGAATGACAAACGGCTGTTGGAAAAGTCAAAGGAATATGAGAACACATTCTTCGGGGAGTCTCTACCTCTGTAGTACGGTGTTCAAAGGATTAATCCCACATCCGCAACATCTCATTTTCAGTGCCCGTGAAAATCTTCCCACATAAAAGTAAAAGGACCTTTAAATTCACTCCCTCGACCAGGAATCGATTCTTAAGCCAGTGTGCACTTCCGCCAAGCGTGATCGGTGGAGTGGCAATTACTCTTAGGACTACACAAATCTCTGATCACACCCTCATTTTCATCTTATGTGTACCAGTGAATACACATCTTATGTGTACCAGTGAATACCACACATTCCAAAAATGTGAATAGTAAATTTCTTTGGTCGAGTATTGAGACGGTTACGATGTGCCTCAAAATCCTAGAGCGGCAAGTTGAAGCAAAATAGAAAGGACCCATAATTTTTATCTGGATCCTCAATTTATAAAATCTAGAAAATTTTGGTGCCCAAACTCAGATAGCAGAACTCGAAAACGTAGTTCCCTTTGAAAATTAAACTAGGGAATTTTAAACGTTTATAAAGACGGAAAAGTGGCTTCCTAGATGGACGTGAAACCTGATATTTCGACATTATACTCCGACACTGAAAAAACTTCCCTAGAGCTTACATCTTATTCTCATTTGTTGTAAACGTGAAAAAAAATATGAACTGAACGAACGATCTGAACGTGAAATTAAATAAAAATGTGAAAAATAATTTCGATGGAAAACAGTTGGAGCTGTTGCTTTCGTTACTCAGAGCTACGGCTTCTACGAAGTTGAATGCATCAAAGAAAACAGTTAAATACCTTCATGCAAATTTTAAAAAATCATATGAAAAGCTCAAAGGCAGATTTGACAGATAGATGAGCCACTACTGAAGTCTTCCGAAATAGTAAGTCCAAGTAAAAAGTAGTACGGAAGATTCGAGCCAACCTCTCGTATATTGTCACGAACAAACATTGGAATGACAAGTAGATGCATTGCTAGTCCAAATATAACAAGTCCTATGCCAAGTAGAAGCAAAGCGATAGCAATAAGTCGCCATCGTGAAGCTGGCGACTTCTTCGTCGACCCGATCATATCTGAAATGGCTAATCGGATGGGGCGAGAACGACTGGCAGTAACCATCATGAATAGTAGGCGAATCGGGACAGAAAAAACATGGACAAAAAGGAACACCATGAAGGTTCTTATAATTGCCGATACTCGGTGTGATTGCGGTGGTGAGGCAGACACAATCGACACAGTTTGGCGATCACAAGACTATCACAGAACGTGATATGGTGGTGATATGTTCGCCATGAAGTTCAAGGACGACATTCAAAAGTTTTTTATCAATCATTAAAAGCTAATAGTTTGTAGTATCACTAAATATCGTTGTACTGGACTGTACTGCGGCTACAACACTACTGTACAAAGTGACGAATTTTCCTGCCACATGACCACCAGTAAAGTTTGAAGAACGTTTTTTTNNNTTTTTTTCTGAATTCTCGAAACTTCATTCCCTTTCTCTTCCCAAAACCCTTATTTGCCTTCGAAAAAAATCGTCTTCAGCAGAAAGGGAAAAACCAGTTGATTACTAATTCCTTTACTGAAATGATTAGATATGGCATCTTCTCCCAAACCACGATTTCTACTTTGCTGACTGTTTAAACTTGATCTTTAGAAGTGAAAGTATTCGTATTCGTGCCGGGCGAGCTTAGGCTCAGCGTTTCCTTGTTCTCAAAAAACTCCATGAGTTCCAGGTTCCCCTATCTTCCATTTTTTCTGGGAAATGAAGGCCGCCCAGTAAAAATACATTGCGTGAGAGATTTCGAATGTCGAATTTTGAAAAAAAAACCAAGCAGGCCAAAATGTTGATCGCCTACTCTCTTGAATATTTTAATTAGAATTGAACTGATATTTCAATTCGATACAGCTGAAGGAATAACCACCTCAAAAGGACTCGGTAACTCAACATTTGTCCTATCACAAATAAGGACCTTGAGTGATCAAGACTGGGATGGAGCGCTAGGTGGGCTCAATATATTTATTCATTTAACTTAAATTCCCCTGTTGTTAGCAAAAAAAGTGCACCACCGAAGTTGATTGAATAAAAATCGCTGGAAGGCTGAATGGGAGTAAGGGAGAGAGTTGAGGGAGAGAGTGAAATAGGTCTTTAGTTGCAAGTTCAATAGAGATCAGGTCTTTTTCTATGTCAACAGCAAAATCGTGGCTCATTATGGGCTAATTAAGGTCATCGAACAAAGTTTTGCGCAATTACAACGATAACTATGCAACATTCAATTTGATTACAGGCAGAAAAAACGAAAGAGGGGGGAAATTTAGTATGGATGATCTGATTGAAAAAAAACAAACAGTTTCGGAAGTTCGACCGAATTGTATCTTACGCTGAGATGGAGTACATCTAGCGTATCACGAGCAGATCGATTGAAAGAAAGTGAGTATGACAAGGAGATCACGGCGAACAAAGAATGGGAAAGAAAAAATGCCATTAAAGAAGCAAAAAATAAAGATGGCTAGAGAAACCAAAAAAAAAATATGGGCTTAACAGTTAGGAAAATGCTTCTGAATAGCAAGGATGAATCAGGAATATACTTCATAGCAACATCAATTGCTTGTCGTTGATCAGATCCTTTTCAAGATGCGTCATGAATCGAACTTCCATTCAGAATAAAAATGGCTTTCAAATGCATACTTCAGCCTACACATACGAGTTTAGGTGCTAAGCGATGAAAAATTCAATCCTTTCATCTTTGCGGACGAAAATTGTATGAAAACTGTAGTCTGCTCCTGTATGCGGAACAGATCAGTAGACTGTAGCAACCCATGAACAGTTCCCAGGTAGAAGGAAAAACTTGAAAAAGGTTCGATCCCGTTTTCCGAACCATGCACCTGACAGGGCCGCCATTTTCAACTCCTTCATCTTGGCCCTTGAAATATAATTGATGCTTCCCTTCCTGCATTTGAGGAATCAAGGGAAATTAATGAAGTGAGATCAGGACAAATAATCCGAATTGATACGCAATCCTCCCTTCGAAGATACAGTAGATATTAGGTTGAGTCATAAGTCCTCGGACAAAATTATAGTGTTGGCTTTTAGAGATCATAACTCGAGAAAGAGGAGACGAAAATGGACGCGCGTGGCATTGTTAGATGGAGTATGAAAAGCTCTTCAAAATACATGCTAACGAACACCACTAACTGTTTCCTTTCCTACAACCATGCCCCATGATTTCAAGCCGTCGCAACTCCACCTCCGCAACACCATCCTATTTCTTTTTTTATCTGGCCAAGAACCCGCGGAGATCGATAGACGTATTAAGGAAGTTTACAAGAAGGGTGCTCCTGCTAGTGCACAATTCAAAAGTGGCACACGAAGTTCACGCTGGACGACCATTCTATCGAAAATGAAGACCGTCCGAGACGCTCAATAGAGTTGGATTTNAAGACCGTCCGAGACGCTCAATAGAGTTGGATTTGGAGGTGCTGCGGAGCCAGGTGGAAGCCGATCCGTATCAAACTACTCGTGGACTGGCAGTCACGCTTGGGGAGTCAGTCTACAATTATTCGTGGATTGAAGACAATCGGTAAGGTGCGAAAGCTCGGTCGATGTGTGCCTCATGCTTTGGAGCAGTATGACATGGATTTTCGCGCCGACATGGCACTTCTCTTCTCACGCTCAAGCGCAGGAGATGGTCATCGTTAGTAGATATCTGGAAGAGCTTCTAATACTCTATCTAACGATGCCTCGTGCGTCCATCCCCCTATGATCTCTAGAAGTCATCACTTACACATTATCCGAGAACTTATGACTCAACCTAATATTTAGGAGGACAAGGAAAAATATTGAATAAGTTAGGCAAACTTAGTCGTTCAGCGGTGACTCATAGTTATAGGTAGTTTTCAGGTACTCAATAACCAGCGAATCCACATTAGTAGTAAAACTGATAAGAAAAGTTAGCAGAAACTGATAGCGTCGAGGTCACTCAAGTGAGGCTGTTATATGAACGCGCGGGAGAACAGCACACTGCGAGGCCCTGTGGCCTAATGGATAAGGCGTCGGTCTCCTAAACCGAAGATTCAAGGTTCGAGTCCTTGCTGGGTCG